GAGAAGTTGAAGGAAGAAAGTTCAAGAGAACTGGAGAGAAAGCAGGTATACTTTTAAATCAGTGTTCATGAAAGATACTAATATAATGTGTTTGTTGCATATTAGAGCTATAAGGTTCAGCCTATGCTGAAGGAAAGGGCTGCTGGAAGTGATAAGAAGTTGATCTGTCTTGTGAGTACTGTGTAGTCTTGTAAAATAGCTGCCATTTTTTGTGAAAATCTGTCTTTAAGCATTTCTGCATTAGATAACACAAAATCTTGACTTAAAAAAAAATGGCTAAATGTGACCTCTCAACTTTTTCAGAGGAGATGCGGAAACAAGGCTTATTTCAATGGCTTGATTCTCTTCAGATTGACAACACCACCTCTCCAGACCTGCAGCTCACTGTGGGAGCAGTGATTGTGGAGGAAATGAGAGCAGCTATAGAGAGAGAGGCTGGTTTTCAGTGTTCAGCTGGAATTTCACACAATAAGGTGAAGGCTAATTGTGCAATTCAGAGAGAAACATGGGAATTTGTAAATACAATAGGGAAAGGTAGGAGTGGGGCATTTAAATTACACATATCCTTTGAAATGGGTTTCTATTTAAAATACACGTTGAGGACCAAATAAAAGTCTAAGTAATTCTTTAACATGAGAATCAACACTGAGCATGTACTTTTCTAAGTAGCAGACTGATAGTTTTTCAGGAAATGCTTATTTATATAGTTGCATCCAAAGTATTTCCTTAATAACTGAGCTGTCTGTAGAAAGTAAGAGGCTAGTCTTTGAATTTTAGATATGAACCTATTTCTTTTCACTTGCTGAATATTCTAGTATCTCATTTCTATTGTGGTATCGCCTGGGTGTTTTATGCTTTTGTTTATTTCCCCCTTTCTAATGAGAGCAATGAGAAAAATGGAATAGTAAAATTAAACTAATTTGGACCACTACTTTGATTGAGGATATTCAGCCAATTCTCAATAATCCAGGGGCAAAATAACTGGCTTTCTGACTAAAGTGCAGGGAGGGCCTGGGATCTCCAGCCTTCTGACAAAACTCAATAATGAAGCAGTGGCTGACTCCCTGGTTACTACCTTCTCCGCCTTCCTCCAACAAGAGGAAAGTTGCCAAGCTACCCAGCAGAATTTTGTGTATTTGTTTTTGTTTTTTCTGGTTGGGTGGAGTGAGGGGAAACAAAAGTCCCAATGCAGTAATTGAAACCAGACTAGATGTTGCCTTGGAGAATTTCCAGAGAATCTCTACAGTGAATTTAAAGACTGAATTTATACTTTTCCTACCAATTTGTGAAATGATACTACTGAAGTACCTTATTCTTTGGAAAGAGTTCTCAAGGATTCAATTTTTTTCATTTTGAAGTCTTGTTTATAGTATAAGTAAGCTGTTTACTATTAAAGGGTGACTGTGAGCCCAATCTTTGACATATACTAAGTTCTGGTAATCTGTATTAAATATGGGACTCAAAATAGACTAATCAGTCAAGAAATGTGAATAAATGGGGTACAGTAAAGCAAGTTTTTCAGCATTTTCATTTGGACGTGCCAAGAAATGCATCTTACTTAAATGCATTCTTCTGCAGCTTCCCTCCTTTTTATCCTCTTCAAGTGGGAGAACCTTAAGGAATAGATGGGGGCAGGAAAAATGACTGAAGGAAAATTGAGAATGGAAGATGTGAAAAGAACAATGAGGATAATGATAGTGGGTTATGCTTTCTACTGATGATGTTATGGGACACTAAGGTTTAGGGATGTCATGAGTTTCTGGTTTGTTTTTGTTTTTAACGTGGAAACCATCAGCTACCACTCTTAGGCTGTGACTGTGTGTGTATGTGTATGTTAATATTCACCAACTCTATGGGTGGAGTTGACAGCAATGAGGTTTTTCCTCTTGTTCCAGGTCCTGGCAAAACTGGCCTGTGGACTAAACAAGCCCAACCACCAGACCCTGGTCTCACATGGGTCAGTCCCGCAGCTCTTCAGCCAGATGCCTATTAGCAAAATGTAAGTACTCAGTGAAGAGTTCTTTGATTTCACTCATATGCTTGTGAGGCAGTCTTTGGTTGTAGTTTCTTCTGTTCCTTATGAAAGATTGGAGCCAGAGAAAACAGGTTCCAGCAAGGTTGGAGGGGATAACACAGAAAATTCTGAAAATGTACTGTGAGACCTTTTTCCTAATTAATCTTCAATTCTGGATTATCTTAGAAGATACTTAAACCTGAATTTTAAAAAATGAACTGATTTTCAATTGTATGTTTAACTTCCAAGTTTTTGTTTAAGTCTTAAAAATAACAAATAACTAGGAATTTTACTTGTTTTCTTTCTTCTAATCTCATATCAAGGTGCTCAGGGCTACTAACTTGCTCCCAAACTAGGCATGAAATAAGCAACCAAATAAAATGAATAACTAGGTTGCACAAACCAATGTGTGTCCTTGACAAGAGCTTATAACTAGTTGAAGGGACAAAGTATAACAGTTTACAGCTGCAAGGAGAGTGCTATCACAAGACTGTGTGTGAGTATAAGTGAATTGTACATGCAGTTACCAAAGTTCATAGAAGAGAAGAATGATCTGAAAATAATTGATGAAAAAAAGGGGGATTTTGTTTTCAGGTTTTGGGGCAGACAACAGATGAGCAATATTGATTTGGAGACTGTTTTGAACACAAAGGGGAAGGTATAAGATATTTTCAGTGAACTAGAACATAAACTACTTTAGATGGACCATATTGAGGAAGATGAGTGAGGAAATGGTACTGAAATGATAGGCTGAGGACAGATTATAGGAAGCCACAAAGGCCAAAGTGAAGAATTTTGACTGTTCTTTAAGTTTAAAGGTTTTAGTCATGAAAGGGATTTGTTTTGGGGTTAGAATTTTAGTCCATAAATGGGACACTGGATCCTGTGCAACTGGAAGCTTTATAGACAGTTGACTTGATATAACTAATCAATGACTTTAACCTTTTGTTTATGCTATTCTTAATCTTCTTCCCAGATCCTAACTCCCAGAGTATCTTAATTCCCAGTATCATTTGGTTTTATGCTAGAAAATTAACAGTCTGCTTTCATTTTCACTGAACCTTCTGGGGAGCTATTTAGTGCAAGCAAAATGCCTCATGTCTGCTGCTTAACGAGATATTTATAAAGTGACCTGTAAATACTTTGTTTTTTTCTGCTAGCCACCATCTTGGAGGAAAGCTAGGGGCCTCTGTAATTGAAATCCTAGGGGTCAAATACATGGGTGAACTGATCCAGTTCACTGAGTCCCAGCTCCAGAGTCATTTTGGGGAGAAAAATGGGTAAGTGATTCCTAATACTTTTCAATCATAACCTTTACAGAGAAGCTAAATTCAAATATAGACAAAAACCATCTGGTAAAATCTAGACCTAACATTTGTTCCTCAAGGTAATTTCAGTCTTCCTTTTGCTTTAAAATATTAGGTCACTATTACCTAATCTTACATCTGCTGCTAACTAGATATTTGGTCTATATTAGCTTCTTCGTGTACTTAAGGAGGTTAATAGATAGAAACTCTTACTTTGAAGTTTGAATATACAGACCATTTTTGTGTGCCAAGATACTCCCTTAAGATCTTGGTAAGGACCAAAAAAACTTGGGAATATGAATCAGTGGTTTACTTTTCTGAAAATACAAATGATAACTTGACTTTAGAAAGCATAACCAGTGTCCCTCTCTTTGGCAATATATTACACTAGAATTCATTGTTGGGGGTGGGGAAGGAATTCTGTCAGAGGTGAGATATACTTAATTTTAGAGAAATTTTTTCTTTTTCATGAAAGGGATAAAAGGATAGTATAACAGACGTTTTGTTTTAACAAGAATGTTCACTTGCTTTCACCTTAAACTTTTCTGCTGGTTTTATCAGATCTTGGCTGTATGCTATGTGCCGTGGGATTGAACATGATCCAGTTAAACCCAGACAAGTACCCCAAACCATTGGCTGCAGCAAGAACTTCCCAGGAAAAACGGCTCTGACTACTCAGGAACAGGTGGGCAGGCAATCTTGACAGAACATTACCTCTTTTAGAGGTTTAGTGGATAGGTTTTGGTAGTTGTGAAAGGTTTAATAAGTTAGATGGGACTAAAATTTCTTTTTTTGAATTGAAAATTGGCTAAACTTGTGGTATTATTTTTCCATTTTTTTTTACCTAAAAAAATAAAATGGAACTGATTGAAGTTCAAAATGGAATTCCTCATTTTTTGGTAGGTGGAAACTTGGAAGGCCTAGTATATTGTGCCTTAAATTTGTATCTTTTTTCTCTGAGCTGGAACATGCCTGAAATTCACCTTATAGCATGCCAGGAGGAAAAGAAAATGACAATCTTGAGTTAGGGCAGGTCAAAGTACTGAAGGTATCTATGCTCTGGGGAGCCCTTGGGTATAGGGGAGCCTTTATTGCATACTTCCATTTGGGAGATAACTGAACAAATCCACCATCTAGTTCTATAATAAACCTAAGGTGTTTAAATAAAAAGATTAAAGTCTTAATACTTTTTTAGGTACAATGGTGGCTTTTGCAGTTAGCCCAGGAACTACAGGAGAGACTAACCAAGGACCGAAATGATGTAAGATTTCTTTTTTATTCCTGGGATAAGCTTTGGGATTTAAATACCAGTTGTTCCTGACTTTGTGGAGTAGAAACAAAGATACAGAAAGATTCCAGCTAGGAAATTTTAAGAAATCTTTTATCATCTTCCACAAAACTCCCAAAACTCAACATGATTTTTTAAAGCCTGGATCTGTGAACATAGGACCTGACTATCCCTGTCTCCCCCATTACCATTTGTGTCTACTTTTTTGTAAATCTCTTGTCTAAGTCCTATAACCCTGGATATAAGGTGGATCTTCATCAGAGTATAGAGCCATTTAGCAGGACATTTAGGGATTGGACTGTAAATTACTGGACTTAACCACAGTCATGTGACAGACATAGTGGCAGTTTTAGAGACACAGTATGAAGTCAAAGATTTGAAATCTGATTACTTTCTTTTTAAAAAAGAGCAGCTTTATTGATATTTTACATGCCATCAAATTCACCCACTCAACAGTATATATACAGTTCAGTACTTTTCATACATTCCAGAGTTGTTCAACTATTCCACAATCTAGGAACATTTTCACCACCCAAAAAAGAAATCCTATTCCCATTAGCAGTTATTTCCCCAGCTCTAGGCAACCACCAGTGTGCTTTCTATCTCCATAGACTCACTATTCTGAATATTTTATATAAGTGGAATAATAAGATGTGGCCTTTTGTGATTGGATTAAGAATCTTTCAGTTGGACAGTGACTGTAATGGGGTATGTGGTGGGGACTTGATAATGGGGGGAGTCTAGTAACCAGAATGTTGCTCAGATAACTGTACATTAATGATATCAAAATAAAAAAGAAGAGGAAGAGATATACACAGAGAAAAGGCCATGTGAGGACATAAGGAAGTGGACATTTGCAAACTGGCCAGACCTGTTAACACCTTGATCTTGCATGTCCAGCCTCTAGAACTGTGAGAAAAAAAACAAAAAACAAAAAGAATCTTTCAGTTAACACAATATTTCCAGGTTTGCCTGTATGGTAGTATATATCATTACTTTATCCCTTTTTATGGCTGAATAATATAGTCTGTTGTATGAATGTAGCACATTTTGTTTATCCATTCACAGGTGAATGGATATTTGAGTCATTGCCACTGTTTGTCTATTATGAATAATGTTGCTGTGAACATTAATGTACAGATTTTAGGTAGACATGTTTTCATTTCTCTTGGGTGTTTACCTAAGAGTAGAATTGCTAGGTATGTGGTAACTCTATGTTTAGCATTTTGAGGAGCCTCCAGACTGTTGCTGTAGTATTTTACATTCCCAACAATGTAAGAGGGTTCTAATTTCTCTATATCCTTGTTATTTTTTTATTTTAGCTGTACTAGTGGGTATGAATGGAATCTCATTGTGGTTTTCAGGTGCTTATTGGCTATTTTCTTGTCTTCTTTGGAGAAATGTCTGTTGAGATCCTTTGCCTGACTTTGAAATGGGTTGTCTCTTTATTACTGAGTGTTAGAAGTTCTTTATATATTCTGGGTACAAGTTCCTTGCCAGATAAATAATTTTTCTCCCATTCTATGGGTTTTCTTTTCATGTTCCTGATGGTATTGTTTGATGTGTCCTCTCCTGCTGAAACATCCGGGAGTCAACAAGTCAGCTGTATACTATCAGGAATCAACCTGTTTGCTTCTTTTTAACTGAACTGGTGACTGTTCTTTGGTAGGCAACATAGAGCAGGACATCCCAGGTGTGTTAGGGGTCTATTTGCCTTTGCCCGCTAGGTGTCACTCTGTTCTCATCTCCCAGCGTGTGAGGCTTTTCTTCTCACTTTGTATTCAGTGCGATACAGGAGGAATCCCTGAGAAGTAATGTATCTTTGAGCTTAAACTATTTTTAATCTTAAAAGGACTTTCTGCCAGAAAGAATTCTGGACATGGAAGATCGTGTCACTTCACTCTTTAAAATATTCCAGTGACTTCCCTTCACACTTCTTTTCTAATGACCAGCATGATTTGGTCACTGGCTATTTCTCTGACCTCATATCCTGTCCTCGCTCCCTTACTCTGCTGTAGCCTCCACTCTGCTGATCTCCTTCCCTTTTATTTAACACCAAGTAAGCTCCCACCTTAGCACTTCTGTACTTGATGTTCCTTTCCTGGAGAATCTTTTCTCATGTATTCTTAAAATTTGCTCCTTCAGTTTATTTAGGTCTCTGCTCAAATTCCACCTTCTCCTGGAGGCTTGCCCAGATCAGTCTCCATCACTTGGTGCCTTACTCTTTTTTCCATAGCACTTTGTAGTAATTTCTACTACATGCCCCCTCACTCCTACCACAAGGTAAGATCCACGAGGGCCCGGGCTTGGTTTTGTATTTCCTGTATCTCTAGATAGTGCCTGGTACATAGTAGGTGTTCAGTTACAGTTGAATGGTTTTAGTCAACAGGGACACCTTTGTAATTGTCAATTTGTATTCTCTTAAAATAGACAAATCTGTACAAACTGTATTTCTAAGATGTACAAAAATACAAAATGTTTTTACCCCAAAAATAGTTTGATCTTGGCTTTTTTGCCTTAGGGGTATTTCTTCTCACTAGCATCTTTTGATTTTGAGGGGATCCCTATGTCGACTTTTTACCTTCTTACACTTCTGCCTCTTGACCTTTATTCCTTAGTTTGCTTTGCATCAACAGTATTCAGATGCTCAGACTTCACTGAAAAGTGAATCAGTGTACTTGCTCTCTAGAGGCAGACTCACTATACTGTATTGTCTATAGAGGGGCCATAAGAAGGAGGTACTAGTGGAAACTTGTGCTTGTATAAGCCTGAAAGCATTAGGGCAGATTAAAGAATAAATCCGCTACTCAATCTTGACATCCTAGCTTGGATCTTCCTTTCAGTTACTTAAGTGAACCCCTCCTTCAGTTACAAAATACAGTACTGTAAGTATTTGTTATAATCTTCCTGCATGGACACCACAAAAAACACTCAGAAGAGTCTATTTTCATTTATTCTATCTTGCTCCCATCACCTGCCAAAATAACCTGTTCTGATATTCCATCATCCAAATTATGTGTGCTCCAATTACTTCTTATACCCAGAAATAGCACAAAAAAATTTTAAGATTTGATTTGAACTTGACTATTTCCAAACCATTCTGTCACCCTGATTCTTCTAATTTCCTCTTACACTGTCAGAATATAGAGTCCAGATGCTCATGGTAACTTTAATTCTGGTCTCAATCCTTTTACATCCACAGAATGACAGGGTGGCCACCCAGCTGGCAGTGACAGTTCGCAAACAAGGAGACAAACATATCAAAAGCTGGCACCGTCGTTGTGCTCTTACCTGCTATGATGCTCACAAGATGAGCCATGATGCATTTGCTATCATCAGGAACTCTAATACATCAGGAACCCATACTGACTGGTAAGCTTCTTTATAGGTTGTCTTTTCAGAGGAGACTTACATCCTATTTTGCTTAAAATTAGTGGGTATATAAGCTTTCCAGCTGAGGTAGGTTCTTGTGACTGACTAGCAGGACTTTTATAGAGGGGATGATCAGCACTAAGGGAAAGAACACAGTAGAAAACGCCAGAAACAGGGCAGCTCAGCTGTAGCTTCTATCCCTAGATTTGGTGCATTCCAGTTCCTGGGGTAGTTTTGAGAGGCAGAGTGAACCCAAGCTATCCCTGCCTCTATCAGTTTGCTATAGTCGGGGTTAGTGACCAATTGCACCTGCCATAAGAGAACTCAAGTTTCAAGCACTTGGGAACTTCTTTCTCAACTACTTGATTGTTCTATCTTAAAAGCATCTTCCTTGATAATGAAAGTGACCTATATTCATGGATAATCTCTACCATCCCAACTCAGTTACAAGCTCTACTGGTGTAATACCAAATGTCATATTAATAAACTTCACTTTAGTTGGTCATGAAAAATAACCGAACATATGATTGGAGTATGTTCATTGACTATTCAGTATTAATGGTTTTCAGTATTGGTTGGAATCCTTTAATTATTTAAACACTGAGGAAAGTATTCCAAATTCACAGTGGAAATATGTGAGATAAATTGGTTGTTCACTTTAAAAAATAGAAATTAGCCACGTAAGTTACTGCTTATCTAGATATGTGGACACTCCTATTATATGTACAGATCTACAATGATGGGATCTCTTAAGTTAGTCTTTGTCCTTAGAATAAATTAACTTTTACTTCTTGGTGTGTTTTTTTCAAATACTGAACAGTTTGCTGAACCAAGTGGTAATTGTGATACTGTGATCATATGAAACCATGTAAACTGACAGACTCTAACAAATACTACTCACTAAGACTGAAATTTATTGACAGGGAAGCATCACAGTTGTCTGAGACTGAAAGCATGAAGCCAGAGGACAGTGAGATCATCATAATAATTTTAAAATAGCATTTACTCTTTACCTCACCAAGGGGTTAATCTGTGTATGAAAATATGTTTAATTTTTTGAAATTCAACTTGTGAAATTTTATTTGAGTAATTACACATAATGAGGAACTTTATGACAGGAATTTCTTGAAATGTTTGAGATGAGGATAGGTAACCAAAAGCAGTTGTGAAATTCATTCTCTAGAAATTCCCAGAGCTGCAAGTCTGTCAGAGTTAGGATTAGGTGGTACCCTATTGAAAAACAGTGGGTAAGAGGAATTTTCTCAAGAGTCTTTCCAGTCTCAGCACTCCCAAGTTTTTTTGTTACCCTAAGTATAATTTCTTGCTCCAACCTTGCATTACAGCAGCTCTGCAGCATATGTATGGCTGGCTTGGTTGGTGTTCACCAAGTCGCCGGTTCTCAAGGTGTGGCCTAGACCAGCAACATCAGCATCCCTGAGGAAACTGACTAGAAAGGCAAATCGCAGCCCAGCCCTTCCTTGTCTATTGTCTCTGTATTAATCAGATACGCCCTGAAGTTTGAGAACCACTGCAGTAGTAATTTCCTCCTGTGCCAGAACCAGAATCCCAGTCTTTTTACAAATTGAATCTGTGACCTGGTGCTAATCTTACTCCTTTACTTCCTATACAGGTCCCCTCCTGTCATAATGCTTTTCCTCTGTGCTACCAAATTCTCTGCCAGTGCCCCTCCATCTTGCACAGACATCACCATATTCTTGAACTCAAGTTCTTTGCCAAAGTTGTCAATTACCCATTCAGAAGCTAAGAACCAGGAAAGTGGCCCAGCGGTGACAGCCACTAAGAAAGCAACCACTTCTCTGCAATCATTATTCCAAAAAGCTGCAGAAAAGCAGAAAGTCAGAGAAGCTTCACTTTCATCTCTTACTGCTACTACCCAGGCCTCCATGAGCAATTCACCATCCAAGCCCTCATTGCCTTTCCAAAGCAGCCGTACTACAGGAACTGAGCCCTTCTTTAAGAAGAAAAGTCTACTTCTGAAGCAGAAACAATTTAATAATCCTTCAGTTTTCTTCCCTCCACAAAACCCATGTTCCAGCCCTAAAGAGTTGCCAAACTGTTTCCCAACAGAATATCCAGACTGCATCCCTGTCTGTGAAGAAGCTTTGAGGCCAGGATCCTCTAAAGCCACTCCTGCAGAGATGGATTTGGCCCCCACTAGCCTAAGCACACTTGCTTCTTTAACTTCCAAGTCTGCTTTGGAGGTGGCTCAGCAGGCACCTACTACCCCTAGTCTTCTGGCAGCTGAGGATCAAGTGCCCTGTGAAAAGTGTGGCTCTCTGGTACCTGTATGGGATATGCCAGAACACATGGACTATCATTTTGCATTGGAGTTGCAGAAATCCTTTTTGCAGACACCCTCTTCAAACCCTCAGGTTGTTCCTGCCAGTTCTCCTCAAAGCAAAAGAAATCCCAAGAGTCCTTCAGCCTCCAATAGTAAGCGCCTTCGCCCTGAGGGCATGCAGACATTGGACTCATTTTTTAAGCCGTTAGCACACTAGTTCTGCCCGCAGGCTTGCTGTAGGGTTTTCATATTTTATCTGTAATCTGGGAGATGGAAATATGTTCACTTCTCAAGGAAATTCATAACTATGAACTGTTAAGAAAAATTTGTTACCTTTTAAGAAAAATGATCCCATTGGATGCTGAGTTAAGGCTCCCATCTCTTTACAGGCATGGATTCTAATCCCATTGCTGACAGGGATGTAAAAATTCATCTTCCAGAATTACAACTGCTCTGGACTTTTGTTAGTTTAGGGAGGCAGTGTTGCAGTAAAAAATGTGTGGGCCTCTCAGCTTAGGAGATCTGGTTCCAAACCTGATTCTGCCTCTTGGAGCATGGCCTTGAGCAAGTCAGGTTCCTTGTGTTTCCTCACCTGTGAAGTTGATACAATACTTCACAGATTATCAGAGATTAAGAACCATGTATTTAAAGTATGTAGCTTAAAGCTGGCACAGAAGAGGAACTGAGTAAAAAAAGCTTTCAAAAAAAAATTCCCCCAGCTCTGTGATGGGGGCAGTCCAGATAATGCCTTGAGGTTGAGAATGTGAGCAGCCTTGGAACCCTGAAGTGTAACTACTTTAGGGTAGAGCTTTGCACCAGAAGCCACTCCATAAATACCTGAATTCCTTACAAATTAACCCTATTTCAGCCACTGGCCTTTCTACCTCTTGCATTTTGTTCTAATGTAGAATGAGATTGTTACTAGACCAGTTCAGGTACTCTGTTTAGATTGGAGAAGTTGTGATGAGAGCTAGATCGTCTCTAGAACCTTGCTACTCTGAGTGTCACTGTAGAGCTGCAGCCTCAGCATCATCAGCTGCAACCAGACCCCCATGCCTACTGAACCAGCATCTATCTGTACATTAACAGGATTCCCCGGGTTGTGTATCTTTGGTAGTTCCCAAACTACCAATCTGAAAAATACCAGTGGCTGGCATTTGCCTTAAACCCTAAGGTACAAATTTAAGAGGTAAGTGCTTGGGCCTTCAGGGTCACTGGCATCTTCATTTCTTCCCTACTGAAGTGTAACTATGTAGCTTAGGGTTTTAAATTATTGTAGCTTTTTGCACTTGTCCATGTTTGTAGCACTGTATTCTTAAATCACCGTTCTTGTGTGTGGAAAGTAACCTTTTCTGCTTTTATGACATGGGAAACCTCAAGTTACACAGAGAACCCAAGTGGAGATTAACGGAGCTAGGTGCAGATGGGGTGAAGTGGGTAGGGAGAATGGTGTACGTGGGTAGGGAGAATGGTGTACATATGCCTCCTCCCATACTATATGCAAAGCAATCACTTTTTAAGCTTATTTATGAATTGGAGGTCTATTTAGTTTGAAGGAGTGAACATTTGACAACCATGGGTCTAATAGGAAATTAGTTCTTCCAAAATATTTTCTACTTCTGTGGCAGTTTTAATAAAAGATTTATTTACTGTATGCATGGCTCTTTCCCTACTAGATTTAGTTTCTTGAAGGCAAGAATTCTTCACAGTGCCTTGTACATAATAGATGCTTGATGGTCATTGAATGAAACATAGTGAGAAATTTTAGATGATTACTAGAATTGGAACAGTAAAAATGTATCTACTAATGGGTGTTGTGGGAAGGCTACTCATATACCTTACTATCCTAAATGTTCCATTAAAGTGGCCGGGTGGCTCACTAGTACCTGGAGATACCATTAACTACTGAGATAATTTTTCCAAAATTTCCTTTCTTAATCCAGGGAAAAGTTAAAAAAGCTGAGATGAAACAATCCTCTCTTTTGGGTGCTGTACAGATAAAGATGAATTAATTTTTAACACTTTGGTTGGCTGGAAGGTGTCATATAGAAAAGTAATGTGGTAGAAACTTTGGTTTCATTGGACTTTTAAGAGGCCAAGATGGGTGGGGGTGGGGGCTAGTGGGTAACCAGTAAATACCAGCAGCACACCTATTTTTTCTTGGGAGTGCCAACCCTGCCCCAGCATAATGGCCATGCGCCTGTGGAGGGGACACCAGAAAGACAGCAAAGGTCAGTTTGGATGAAAGCTCTAGGACATTTTGGTGAATACAACCTTTCCTCACAGCTGTTTACCAGCAGCTGTACAGAAGGAAGTAAGCAGCTTAGTTCCCAACAGTAAAGGAAGTTCTTCAACCACAGGCTCCTTAGTTTGTTAAACTAGTGATATGTTTAAAAGCAGCTGTGCTTGAGTGGTAGAGAAGCTATCACTTTCATACCCCAGGGGCAGAATGCCCATGCGACCCTAGGCCACATGTATCATTAAAATTCTCTAAGAATCAGAACTCAAAATGCATCCCTGGTTTTTGCAGTTGACTTTAACCTTGGGCCCTATTTATCTACCCATAAAATGTGACAGGTATTCTGAACACAAACAGGAAGGGACTAAGGTTTGTTAGGTGGCCCTCAAAGTTCCACGAAGGTAGTTTAGGCTGTATAAACCTCACTTCAAGCTATTTTGCATTGCTAGGAAAGGCATGAGGATCAGACTACCATGTCTCTAAATTGTACTCTTTGTTAAGTAACTGGCACACTATGCTCCAGTCTCAGGGCACAGTAGCAGGCTCCTTACCATTGTGACCAATAACAAGTGGCCAGCTCCTCAAGTATGGGGTGGTTACCTACCTCAGCTGAAAGGCAGCAGTTTCACTTTCTATTCTGCTCAAAGAATTATGCAAAACAGGCCCGAGTAGTGGGTCACAATAGTGGAACACTGAGCGCACGCTGGGGAGAACAAGGAAGAATGGGGAGAGAGATACCAGATGGGTTCTTTCCCGACTCAGGGCTCAGCTGTGTTAAGGTCACACTTGTCTCTCACCCTGGAGAGGAGTCTCCCTCTGGAAGCTGAGCCTGTCTTAAGCATAAGCACAGTGTGTTCAGTAAAACATTTTTATTCTGTACAATATATATGTGTGTATTTAAATATATATGTGGATATGTGTGTGTGTGTATATACACATATACATATATATATACACATATATGCAGAGAAACCTAAACCAACAAATCCCTGAGTCCACGGGAACCCAGGACACTAACAAAGGGAAAGGAGGGAGTCCATGCCTAAAGAGTAGAAAATATGGCAACATCTTTCCCTTTCCTCCAGGTTCCCTACAACAGAGGGAAAGGGATGGTCACTGCAAATTCTAAGAGAGGACTTAACGTGGGAGCAGGAAGAGGGGTGAGGGAGGTAGGAAGGGTTGCTGGGTGGGTCAGGTCCCCAGCCACCAGTCTGGGAAAGTAAAACACTGTTTGATCCAGCATTAAAAGCAACAGATTGCTGCAGGGGAGGGGACAAAATTGATTGACATGCAGCTGACCTTCGGTATGCCAAGCTTAGCTCGGCAGCCCCACACCTGAGCCAGCACAACAAATAGCACCTGTGGGGCCTATGAAAGGAGAAACTTGGGAAATGGCCCTTGAGTGAAGAACAGAGGGGGGATAACGCTGAGGAACAGGCCTCAAGTCTCAGCACAGTATGGGAGCACTGCCATTCACTGTCCCTGTGCCATTTCTTCAGACCCTGGGCCACCAGATGGCCAGGAACAGATGTCTTTTGTCCAGTCAGGTAGAGACAGGCAATTTACATGGCCTTGGGAAGAGGTATAGAAAAATGAGTGCTTTCGAGGACTGCCCCCAGGTTGTGACAATTCCTGAAGTGTAGACACCACACCGGCGAATCATGCCCAGTTCTGACAGCGGACCCGAGGTGGTGGTGGTCAGCTCCCTCCAGTAGACAGGCCACGGAGTTGCCAGGGTTGATGAGCCAACCAGGTGGACACACAGCTGCTGGGCACTGCCCTGAATTCTCCTGTCTTCTCCCTCAGGATTGCCCCTGCCTTGCCACACCAAGCTTGGCATCTCTCCAGAAAAGTGGCAGGTAGTTAAGTGGCAGAGAGCACCCCTCTCTCCCTAGCCTACTAACACACAGAGCCGCCAATGGTTGGGGGCAGCATGGCCGGAAGTCACCTTATGTATTGTAGGGACAGCAATAGAGCTGTGCCTGCCTGGAGAAGTTCAGAAACCCATGTTGGCCTGGGCCTCTCCTGCTGCAATGGCTTGCACATCAGTGACATGGCCGATGCCCTTGGTGACACCCTCCCGGAAGAGCAGCTTGGCACCCACCTTCAGGTACTCTGGGTGTTTCAGGAAGCGGAAGCGTACCACTGCCTTCTCCCCTGTTCGCAGCTTGTCCTGCAGCAGACATGCGGTCACTGGCTCTGGACAGTGATTCCCATCCCACTTTCTATCATCCTCAGCTCTCCACCCTCAGGGGCCTATCAGGCTTCTACCCACCCAGAGGCGGTACTCAGTTTCCTTTGTGGGATCAGGGAGTTTATGAGTCAGGCCAGGCCTCCTTTTCTGAAGGCAGGAGACTTCCTGAGAAATGGGGCATAGCTGGGTCCCTCTCACCTTGGCATGGATCTTTTCCACCACTGCAGTCTGCCGTACGTTGCCCACATGTACTGTCACCTGGAAGCCTCGCCGGAAGGTGGTGGCGTGGAACAGCAGGACTATCTCTGCCTCGAACACTGAGCAGATGGTGGGATTCATCTCGGGGCTCACCATCACCATGCCCTGGGAAGGCACAGTCCCCAGACCCAGGTAGGGCACAACTCTTACTAGTCTCTCCCTCCTAGGCCCCTCCCACCCTTTACAGCTCCTGAATTTCCTCTTCCTCTAGGACTTCAAACACAAAGCCCTCAGAAGATAATATTCAAAACTCTCCTCTTAGAGGGAACACTTCTTTACTGGACTCCCACATCCTAACCTTTCCAATGCTTTGCATTTTTAGGATCCTGCACACACAGGTTGCACCACAGTGACTTTATTCGGTGATCTATGCTGTAGAAGTATTGTAAACCTTCATACAGCAGACTGTGTAACCAGCCTCTGAGTTTGAGACCATGTTTCCTTTGAGTTCCTCTGAAGTACTTCAGACAAGGGCTTCTCATTCCAGGAGCCAGTCTCCCAGGTCCTTCCCTTTGTGTTCCCACTCCAACTGGCCCTCCTGCCTCACCTTGCGAAGGCGTGCACGGTCAAAATCGCCGAGGGCCAGCGTAGCAGCCTGACCGGCACGCAGCACCCGGCAGGCAGAGCGGTTGCGCTGGATGCTGCACACTCTCAGCTCCAGGAAGCTGCCGTCGTCCATGGGGCCCACCACCAGCTGGTCCCCTTCACGGCAAATCCCGCTACAGCCCGGAGGGCGGGTGGCACAGTGTCAGCTCAGGCCCCCTACTTACCTACCTGCTAGGTTAGGGTCATCCAGGGCATTCCTTCCCATCTACGGCTGAGTGCCTCAGGTGGGGAAACAGAGCCTCAGGTCTGACTTAGAGACAGGGGAGATGATTGCCCGGTCCCAGTACAGACTGCACACTCAGAATACTACTACCAGGAACGGCCAGCAGCAGTGGCTGGCAGAGAAGGACCTGGTGGTTTGACACTGAACACCTGGTCCTCAGAAGAGTAAGTTATCCTCAGGGGTTTCATTCTCTGCTTTGGAAAGAGTCTTTAGGGACCTCCTCTCATTTCCCTGCTTGGAGATGAAGTCAGTTGGCTATGACTGGAGCCCAAGACCCACACTTCTTCAGGGGCCTGGAGATTCCCAGTAATTGACAATACTGTCGTCCTAAGCCAACAGACTAGCTTTCTCTAGTTCTTCAGATGGGGAAAGCCTAATCTGCAAACAAGCACATCCTTTAGATGGACTCTGTTCAACTCCACAGAGTCTCCTCAGGGCTATGTCTTCGAGTGTTATGTGCCTATAAGGGCTGGGTGGGGTGGGCAGCAAGCAAGGCAATTCACCTGGAAAGTGTCCCTCCAACAACTGTCCCCACCTCTGGTACTGTGTAGATTTCATCCACCTGAAGCCAAAGAAAATTCTATCAGTGGTCTGCCAAGTAAGGCTGGCAAGTCCAAAAATCTCTAAACAGATTTGGGGCTTGGTCAGAATTGAGTCCCTCCCAGTTCCCCAGCTCACTGCCCCTTTGGGTGGCCAGTCACCTGGAACTCTGTCAGCTGCTGCATGAGTTCCTCCTGTTCTTTGCTGTTGGTGAGTGGTGGCAAGATATTCAGAAAGACTTTGAGTAGGTCCAGACTCTCTCCAGACACACTGGACAGTGTGAAGATAGGGGTGACACTGTAGAGGGAGGCATGGAATGGACAGATGAGGAACATTCTAACACGAAGTTGAAGCTAGAGCTTCAAACATGGAAAGGTAAGCTCTTAGGTTGGCTAGGCACCCCTCTCTATCTGCACACTTTCTTAGGAGCTTTGGGCCCTCTCTCGGAGAGACAGCTATAGAATGTACCCATCCCAGAGCCCAAGAGAAGACAGCAAATGCCTGGCACAGCACTTTGTTTCCAGGGTTCCAGGCATCAGTAAAGCTCTAGGTTGGCTTGGGGGAAAGGTCAAGCCCTTTAGTGAAGACTTCCTCCCACCACCTCAGCCTGTAAAACCGCAGAACTGAGCAGAGCTGGTCTGGTCCTGGGGTGGGACACCACACTCAGGGGCCCTGTGGTAGGACCTGTGGACTAGAGGTCTGGAGTGAGAAAGGCTTACTTGGGTGACTGGGCAAACTGCTGGGCAGCAGTGACGGCATCATCTTCGGAGGTGACCAGCATGGGGACCTTGTGGCAGCCAGGCTGCTTGAGGACCCGCTCTAGCTGGCGTACTGTCCTCTCCACTGTGGTCTTGGCACACAGGTCCACCTTGCTGACCACGATGAAGAAGGGCACTTTCAGGGCGAGGGCGAGCCCCAGATGTTCCCTGGTGGTGCCAGCTGCCTCAGAGGAGGCAGGCAAGTACCAGGAGAGAAGAGTGAGAACATGGGGGGGAGGACAGGGGACACAGGAAAGTCAGTCTGGCTCCCAGATTTGAAGAGGCCCAGGATAAGAGACTCAGCACCCCCTCCAGCCCCATCCCTGCCCAGTGCCTCATACCAATCCCAGTGTTAGCACTGACGAGGAGCAGGGCACAGTCGGGGCAGTATGAGGTGAGGCCAAAGATGGTGGTGTGGAGGTACTTGTGGTGGCCTGCCAGGTCGATGAAGGTGATCATCTTGGAGCTGCTCTCACAGATCTCTTCTGCTGTCCTTGAATCGCTGTAATTCACCACCTGGCCCAGAGCCCAGGGCTCTCAGTGCCCCCTGCCAACCTCCCCAACCCTTTAAATCGCCAGGACCTAAACCAGTCCCTGGGTGACCTGCCTCTTAGCCCTGAGCCCCATTTCTGATTTAATTGAGATGCCTCCTCTTTTGTTTTCTAAGGAGGACAGAGCTTGTTCCATGCCCTCAGGGCCTTCATGTATACTACTATAGAGACTCCGCACTGCCCTTGGACTCCGTCCTCCACCACTCCCATCCCATCCTCAGAGTCCGGCCCCACGGGGTCCCGTTGATTGCATGCACCTCTCCCTTGCTGTTAAAGCCCAGGATCTCGAAGCTGATGCTGGAGGTTCGGCCAGACTGAATCTCATGCAGGTGGCGGAAAAGGTTGAGGCGAGCCCGGCCCCGCCCATTGTCCAGCTCTCCCTGGGTCAGGACTCCAAGCAGAGTCGACTTCCCTGAGTCCACATTCCCCAGGACGGCCACACGGAGGTCTAGGAACTGTGGATGAATTGCCAGAGGTAAGGACTCCAATCCCTCACCTTTCTCCACTGAAAGCTGGGTCAAGGGCAGTGACAGGGCCCACACAATGCACTGGACATCCCCAGGACCAGACCAGAGGGGAGCCTGCTACCACGGGGGCATGGGTAGGAGAGGTCAGGGAGGGTGTGTGCTCACCTGTTGGTTGTCAGGGACCTTTCGTACCAGCACCTCAGTGATCTTCCGGGGCATGTCACTATCATAATCCACTTCTCGCTCCCGGAGAACAGTGATGTCTGCCCCAACCCTGTCACAGCAAGGCCACAGCTGCCACATGTAACCTGCACTCCCTCCCCCCATGCCCCACCTTCCATCTTGGCTGTGGACCAATGGCTTCAGACCACATCGTTCCCACAGAGTTCTTGACACCTTACTTCACTTCTTACCACCCTCCAAGCTATCCCACAGCTACAGCTACCTTTAAACAAAGTCAGTCTTAAGGGGCAAAAAAGACTAGGTCCAAAAAAGACAAGAAACTCAAAACACTAGTGCTCCTACATCAGCCCTTTGTCAAGAGAAGGCAGCAGAAGGCACCCCCGCCAGAGTTTGCAGAAATAGAACTGGGAAGGAAGGGGAAGCATACTTCTCCGCCATCCGGTGCAGGGTCTTGAGGGAGGCCCGCATCTCCTCCTCGGCCAGTCCCACGAGCAGCCCATTGTCCTCCACCCCAATCTGGTAGACGGCCTCACCACGGCCCTCCTGGAGCCGCCACTTCATCTGTGTCACCAGGTGCTCAAAGCGGTACTGGGATGGATTCACCAGCTTCAGCTAAGGGCAGGTGAGGGGGTGAAATCAGAGTTGCTTCCCCTAAACCCACATGCTCCTCACCTGTACTGCTGCAAGGTCCAGGACCTTCCTTTCCCACTTAAACCCGCTCATCCCTGACCCAAACATCCCTAACAGTGAGTCCACCTCCAACAGAATGAGGTACAGAGCCCTTACCCTGAACCGCATCTGTAAACTTCTATAGATTGTGAAGTTGGGATGAAACTCAGAGAAATCATCCCATGCTAGCAAGAACAACCTGCCCCTCCCCGGTCTAAGACTCACTTTATATTCAATGTTTCCATCTTCAGCCTGTAAAGAAACAGGGAAGAGTTACCACATGCGGTCCAGACCCAACCCCTACTTCCCCAACTCCTGCTGGGACCCAGGCAGCTAACTTGAGAGCAGGAAGCCTCAGTGGCAGCTGTTTAGGCCAAAGGTCTTTGATAGACAAGCCCTCCACTCAGCCCCAATGTGATCTTTCTGAAGGAAAGGCCTCTAGGAAAACAGTGAGTCACCTATCTAATCCAGGAAGAGAACAGAGTCCCTTCTTTCTTTGATAACTGGCAGCACAATCTTCCTAGATACTAGATCACCCTTTTCTTCTCCCCAGGGCCTCAAACTACTATCCCCAGAAGCCTCTGTTTCCTCTGTCCGGGCTGCTGAAGCCACTCTTTGCCACTGGGCTGGGAGACATCATTTCCTTCCTGCCTGCCCCTCTCAGCTGATGTCATCAAGAGTAACAGGCTACAAGAGTTTCTGGACCAGGGCCAAGAGGTGAACTCAGCACTGGTCACTCAAACGCAGTGAGAGGAGCCTGGGTGAGAAGGACAGGGCTCCAAAGCTGGGGCTGAGATGAAGAGAAGAAACTCAGAAGATGTGATGAAGACGACAGACTTCACAAACAAGACTCACTGGGGTTTTTACCTCCTGTTCCCTCTCATGCCTCAGTTGAGATGAAATACTGAATCTACTTCGCAGTCACCTCTAACTCTTCCCTACACTGGCACCCAATACATTCCATCACACAGCCTTCCCCTCTTGGGGGCAAAGGGGTGTGAGATTTACTCCTTCTGCCTGTCCTGCATTTCTGTACTTCTCCTCCTGGCCATTTTCTTTTTCTTTCCTGCCCCTGTCATCTTTCCATCTCTTCAAGGCCCTCTGACTCCCAGGCTAAATCTAACAGGCCTTCACCCATAACCTCTACCTCATGAGTATAAGGGTGATCTTTTCCCACTAGCAAAGACCTTTTTTATCATTTTGCTGTGGATGAATTAGGATAGGTGGCTTCAGAAGAATGGTATAAGAATGATCATCTAGGCCAGTGGTTCTCCAAGTGTGTTCCCTGGACCAGCAGCCTTAGCATCACCCAGAAACTTGTAAGAAATGCGGATTATCAGGCCCACCTCTGCCCTCCTAAATCATAAATTCTGAGGGTTGGGCCTCAATCTAGGTGATTCTTACATACAGTAAAGTTTGATAACTATTACACACAGTAAAGTTTGATAACTACTGGTTTAGGCTCTTCCCCTAGGTGCTCCTTTTCTAAGAGAGACAAAGTAGCAGTCATTCTCTGCCTTCGGGATAGATTACGCAGGTCTGTGAATCTATCCCCACGGGACGGGCAAAAGGTGGAAGGACTAAGCCTGTTGTTCTCCGGGTGTTGTGTGTACACTAGTGTGTGTGTGTGGGGTGTGTGTGTGTGTGTGTGTGTGTGTGTGTGTGGTGTGTGTGGTGTGTGTGGTGTGTGTGTGGGTGTGTGCTGTGTGGTGTGTGGTATGTAGTGTGTGTGTGTGTGTGCTGTGTGGTGTATGGTATGTAGTTTGTGTGTGGGGGGGTGCTGTGTGG